GTGAGATGTGGGGGTTAAACTAGGCGAGCTAAAGGTGAGATGTGGGGGTTAAACTAGGCGAGCTAAAGGTGAGATGTGTTGTTCAACTTGGGGGGGGGGGGCTAAAGGTGAGATGTATACGTGCAACTAGGGGAGCTGAAGGTGCGATGCCTGGGTTCAACTAAGGGAGTTTAAAGTCACAATGAGATGTTTGGTGAAGTGAGATGTCAGGTATAATTTTGGGAAACTAGAAGTCAGATGTGAGCAAGTCTTGGTGGTCAGAGTTCAGGCCTTCTTCACTTTCACTTTTCATTTTTTGCAGTCTTTTTGTACCCCAAGATGTTAGGGGGACATGTACACAATTGTCGGAGATGGGCAAGGAGTGTTGGCTTTTAGATCGTCATGATGTGCCTTTGGGGACGTTTGTCATACCTTTAAAAATAACTACAATATAAATAAGATACGCAGAAGCTTTGAAAACGTTATAGAACAAACAGACGATACAAGGAGGTAATTCGGTCTGTGACATTGGGGTGGGTGAGGAAGTAACGTTTTGGCACAGATTTTGTTGTTGTGGGTAGAGAACCTCACATCACATCACCTCACCACACCTATCCCGAGGAATGGATGTCCGTCGCGGCGCTTTTGAAGATTTGGCCACCAGCTTCCTCCACTCGTTCCAGTCTTCAGCTTCCCTGAGTTCCAGGCCGGTCCATGTTTTTATGTTGTTCTCCCAACTCGTCTTCGGTCTGCCTCTGCTCCTTTTCCCTGGACGCTTCCCTGCAGGATCATCTTGGCAAGGCCGGATGAACGGGTGATGTGTCCGTACAATTGCAGTTTGCGTTTCCAGAGTACAGTGAGAAGGTCAGCATATGGTCAGCATATGGGTAGAGACCTTACTTACTACTTTTACTTTTTCATCCTCAGTTGCTGTTAAGCGTCGAGGGGAGATGCAGTTTTCTATGGTAGGCCAGCTCCGCAGTTCTTTCAGTTGTGATATTTTGTTTTCTCAGGGTTTCCTTGACACCCTCGATACACCTTTTGCGTGGCCTTCCTCTTCCTTTATGGCCTGAGTGCTTGGTGTTGTAGGCTCTCGAGGCTGGTTGGCAAGGTGACATACGTAACAGGTGGCCAAACTATTTTATTCTCTGTCTTTCTATGTAACGCAGGCAGAACTCAATGCCGATAGGTAGAGAACAACACCGCAAAAATTACCATAAATTATAAGGGTATGGTGTTCTATCTGACATGGAGTGGTTGTCCCACAACCGTTCACCCCTGACACCTCCTCCCCCAGGTCCAAGCCAACCCCACGGACGTGAGCTACCCTCACCCCGAGCCGCCCACATACACGCCGGGACAGACCAGCTCTGCGGACGAGGTCAACGGGAACTGGGACCTGCGGCTCGGGGACTTTGAGAAACTCATGTTTGTGAAGATATTTAAGGAAGAGAAGGTGAGCTCCCCTGTTTGTAGTGATGTGTGAATGATTACTCAAAATTTCCCTGTCTGTTCTTAATGGGTGGTTGTTGTTTTTTTGTTGTTTTTTTTTGTTTGTTTTTTTATTCGAAAAGTTTGAGGCATCTATTTGTCTGAACATCTAGCATCCTGTTCGTCATCAAATGTTCGCCAAAGACTATATTGATAAAGAGCACTGCCGTGTGCAACTTTATTCCACATGTTAAACTATTCCTAATTCACTCACTCACTCACTCACTCACTCATCATTTTCCTTGGTCTTCCTTTTTTTCGACTGCCATCAGCAATTCCCTGCGTGGTGGTTGTTGTTGTTTTTTTTGCGAGGCTAGTTGATATGGCATAAACATATTACCTCAAGATGGACCCTGCTGAGGAGGGGCGCAGGGTTTTATTGATAGAATATGAATCTGAAGACCTCAGTTTTTAAATCAAGTAATCAAGTAAGGACAATACGTAGATTACAGGGGGCAATGAACACGATTATCTGTGTCGACGTACAACGCTGTAAACAAAGAGAAATCAACGTGACCAACTTTCTGTTCTCAGACAACATTCGCAGTGACAGAGTTTGTGTCTGTGAAGCTATTTTCGTTTTGTTGCTGTTGTTGTTGTTGTCGTTGTCGTTGTTGTTGTTGTTGTTGTTGTTGTTGTTGTTGTTGTTGTTGTTGTTGTTCTTCTTCTTCTTCTTCTTCTTCTTCTTCTTCTTCTTCTTCTTCTTCTTCTTCTTCTTCTTCTTCTTCTTCTTCTTCTT